GGAGGTTGTCATAAATAACCAATATCCCGATGGTAATACTGCTTTTTTTTTTTTTTCGGAAATACAAAGCCATAATAAAACTCGTGCATATTTAAGAAATAAGAAATTGGTTGATATATAATTGGCAAGTTACTATTATATAAAAAAAATTGGCAAATTACTATGGGACATAGATTTTGAGGAGTTAATTTCTTATTCCAAGTAATCATCATACAAGTAGGAACCGGATCCTCTTAGCGGCAAAATTCTCAGCATCTCTCATCAGCTAAATTCGGTAGGCCTATGCAAAGAACTTGAGAAGCCAATCTGCCCGATCCTACTCGGTGACATAGGATTGGGTTTCAACACAATGAAATTCATCCCAGAGACTAAATGGGAGACTGAGACCGGATTATGCACCGGGTCAGACTAGATACAGGGTGAAGGTTTTGATTGATTGGCCTGGTCTGACTTGAAGTGTATTTATTTTTTCTTTAAAAAAGTTAATCTTAGGTGCTGCTTATGAGAGATAATAGAAACTTTTTGAAATTTTAAAATTAAATGAACTACTTCACTATCTCTCTTAATTATTTTTACTTTCTCTTTGCTGTCAAGTTTTGTCTCCCTCCTTTCTCTTTCATTGACTATCAGAGCAATAGCTTGACTTGATCTACAACTTTAGCTTCGTTTTGTGTGGTGTTTAATATATTGTTAATAGTGGGGACTGTGGGGTTTGGGCTTTTCTTTAATGGCTGATAAACTATACAAAAGGTTAAATAAAATATATAAGAAATGGTTATTAGACTACATTTTAATTATGAACTTATGTGATATATTAGGTTTTATTACTTTTGGACATTAGGCTATGTTATTTTCAAAAATTAGTTTTATTTTTTTATGATCCAATAAATTCTATTTTTGAGATGGGTAATCTTGTAACCCGGTCCTAGTTTTGTGACCAAACTCGATCTTGTCTTGCCCTCAAGTCAATTCGAGTAGGATTGGTCCTTGGACTAAAAATTAATAACCTGGCATTGTTAATACTAGGCATCGAGTTGACTACAAATTCAATCTTGCTCAGTCTTTGAACACCCTTAAAATATAGTCTATTTAAATAGTCAAAATCTTATCAATACACACATCACATAGCTATTAAAAATACATGTGAACATATATTTTGAAATATCATATATGGGTGAAAATAAGTCAGGCTTAAATTAGATTTTAAATAAACAAGCTTAACCTATTTATATAAATAAGCCTAATTATAAATTTAAACATGGTCTTTTTATTAAAAAAGCTAGACCAAAATTTAAACAGGAAAGGCTGTATGTCTCTACGATCAAGGCTTGGCCTACTTAACAAAAAGTTAATTATACTAAAATAAGGAAATAAGCTTGCGAAAACGTACAGTCTGTCTATTTCAAATTTTGACATGATCTATTTAACAAAAAAAAAATCATACTTAAATTTATAATTAATAGGCTAAATCTATTTACTCAAAATCTGGCTGAAGCTTGACCCATTTTCATCCATACATAATATTTCAAAATATATTGTTCATATGTATTTTTAATACCCATGTGATGTGTGTGTTGATGAAATTTTGATCATTTGAACGGATCAGAATTAAATATATATTTTTTGGATGCTAGATAATTTGATGAAAGAAATATAAAAAGATGGGCGGTTAACTTTTGCAAGGTACGTGACAATAGATATGCCTGGAAAAAAAAAAGAATGTGTTTCTCTCCACTATTTTTTCCCTTCACTATCTCTCCACTTTTAAATTAAATTTATATTTTTAAATTTTCTTTTCATGTAAAAGGTAATATTAAAAAAATATAGTTAATAAAATTTTATTTTTTAAAATTATCTTATATTTTAAGAAAATAAAATTCTTCTAAAATTATTTTATAGTTTGGGACAGAGGGAGTGGCAAGCAAGATTAGTCTAAATACTTTTATTTATTAATTTTTAATTATACAAATTCTTTTAGAAATATACATACGTATGTATCTGCGCGCGGGCGCAAAACAATTGCATAATGTACGATTTTATGCTGTACACAAATGAGAAAAATTATATTTCCGAAAATGCCATTGCTAAATATTTCAATCGGAAGGGGGCATCAGATCTGTGCAATCAATTGGAATGAATTGGGCCTGTTTGGATTTTAATTTAGAAATATTTATTATAAAAACATTGATTTTCATAATGATATTTGGATAAATTTTTAGAGATTGATTTTGATAAAATTGGGGTTTGGATTGTTTGGCTAGATAATATTAAAAACGTATTTCTAAAATTGCCTTTCTTGTGAGAGAAAAAAATAAGATGACATAAATTTCTACATTTGTTATATGAAATTGAGATATATGAAGAACAAGTATGTATGTATGTATGTATGAGAATAAGAATCATGATGAAGCATGAATGACTGGAAGGGGAGGCATGGAGGGTATAAATAGGAAGAGAGGGTGGAATATTTTTCGGTCTTTCTATGACTCATTTCTACCAACTTTTTTAATACTAATGAAAAAAGAAAAAAAAATAAAAGTGTATAAAATTTTAAAGATATCTCTACGTAATAAATTTAAAAAGTGATGTTATATTATTTTTCTCTCTCATAAAAAATAATTTTAAAATATTTTTTAAATATTATTTAAAAAATTATACTGTAACTTATAAATAAAATTAAATAAATATTTTAAAACATGCATTGTCAATTTATGACACTGAATGGAGTACTCAACATGCTATGAAAGAAGGACTAAAATGCTTAATGAGGGTCGTCCTTCTGTTTCTCACACACCGAGACAAACTACTTTGTTTCTTCTCTCACCCTGCCCCTTCAGCCCCAATAAAAACAATGCAAGGCACAAAAATGTAGTCAACAAGATCAAAATAAGGTTCCATCTCTGCCATGAATCACAATTGGATCAAATGATTTTTCATGCGAGTTAAAATTGATATTTTATAGCATGATGGATTAAATTGGTTGAGAAAATAAACTTTTTATGTAAGTTGTAAAAAACAGCATGCCAGTTTTAATTACAATCTATGTAGAAAGTGATGTTTTTTTTTTAAAAAAAAAGAGGCATTTTTTTCTGAATCAGAAGTAATTTTTTGTTTTCTTAAATTTTAATAGATTTCATACAATCAGGCGTACGTGTATTATGCCTCAAGCTATATTGATACGATTTTTGTCTGAATGGGGCCTCTCATAAAGTCCTGAAAAATTAATTGTGGGACAAAAAAATATTTTTTAATTTAATTTTAAGTATTCTTCTGCATAAAGCTTGGCTGTGTTTCTATTGTGAATAACATAATCTAGTACCTCTGAGGACCTTGCACGCCTACATATCCTTATGTTACTAAGAATTCTTCATATATACCACTTTTCATAATCACCAAGAGATTAAATCAAATCCCTGCCGATATATCCATCATATTTCTCCCCGTTTCACAACCGTTCATTCCCTTTTTTGGTAGACAAAGAAATCAAGGTGATATTTACAGATTACTTTCTTATTATCCTAACAAGTGCACTTTTCTACAAAAGATATCTCAACATGAGTAGTTTAATTTTGTGCCTCTGCAGATGAGTCTCATTGCTAGGCCTCCCTGCACAAAGATGAATATAAATCTAGAACTTTCATTGTAGATGAGTATTTGATTCTCTATAATATGTTAAGATGTTTAGAATTTTTTTACAAACTGTGTTTAATTTATTTTAGGCAAATGATTATATTTTTTTTGTGTTTCTAATTCATGATAGTATATTAGTGATATGCAATTGATAAACCATATTAGTTAAAGCTTATCAACACTATTTAGTCTTGTAGATGTGAGGATGTGTAATCTCATCATTTCTTATGATGAAAAATAAGATTTATTAGTTTATGTATTTGATTTTCTAATAAGCTAAGATGTTTAGAATTTTTTATAGGTTGTATTTGAACTATTTTAGGCAAATAATTATAATTTTTTTTTCATCTTTTTGATCTACAATAGTATATCAATGATATACAATTGTATATCACTGATAAACTATATTAATAAAAATTTATCACCACTATTTAATTTTGTAGATATAAGGATGCTTAATCTCATTATTTCTTTTTTTGAAAAAGGGGTCAAATGAAGCTCTCTTCCATTTTCAAGTATTTAAAAAAAAGTTTTTGCAAAAAAAAAAGCATTTGAAAGAAGGTTATATTTTTGCAAAGAGGTAGTTTTGTCATATAAATATCAACTAAATATTAAAATGAGCATAATGCAAAATATAACAAATATTAGGCTGTTTATTAGATTTGATTCTATAAAATGGGCTATATATGTAAAAGTCTCTAAATTTTTTTATTTTTAAATTATTAGCATCAATGTTATTCTGTTCAAATTATTTTTACTACTTAACTATACTTTTGTTTATTAATTATTCTGTTATTTAATCAATGTTATTCTGTTCAAATTAGCATAAAATACAAACTCTTTTAAAAATGTGTGTGTATGCGCGCGCGCAGAACAGTTGCATGATATAGAATTTTATGCTGCTTGCGAATGAGAAAATAATATTACCGAAAATGCCATTAATAGATATTACAATCGCTAAGGGGGCATCAGATCTGAGCAACCGATTGGAACCATATTGAATGACGAGTCAACTTTTTGTCTTTGAGTCAACTTCTTCACTTCTTCGCCAATAAATCCAAATTAGTTCTCGGGGAGAATACAATAGCGAGATAGTGAAATTACAAACCTAAAATAAAATTTTATTCTGTGACCTGACATCTGTAATACAAAGCTAGAGATAGATGAGCAGCAACACACAACACAAAAACTATTCCAAGAACTTTCACCGATACAATTACAATAAACTGATTTTGAGATGAGCTCTCAAAATCTCTTCATGTTCTCATGCCATCATAGCAGTTATCTATCTAGAGGATGAAATTCCCAATGGCAAAGGAAGCGAGGATGAAGAAGAATCTGGCAAAGGAACGCGAAGCTGCAGAACTAGGCTAACGAGGGGGTTGGGCGGTGGACGGCGTCCGAGGGGGAGGTTGGGGGGTGTCGTCGTCGGAGGGGGGGACAACTTCAGAGAGGGAGGTTGGGGGCTGGACGGTGTCGGAGGGGGCAACGAGGTCGGAGGGGAAGGTTGGGCGGGATGATGACGTCGGAGGGGGAGGTTGGGGGGTGGACAACGTCGGAGAAGGCAGTGACGTCGGAGAAAAAGCATTGGAGACGACACCGCTGGCGGTGACAGAGTAATGGAGAAGAAGAAAAGGGAGAAATAAAGCGGTGAGGGAATGGCAGGTGTTGGGCATGGTGATGGAATTGAGATATATGAAGAACAAGTATGTACGTGTGTATGAGAATGGGAATGAGAATGAAGAATGAGTATAAATAGAAAGAGAGCGTGGAATATTCATCCTACCATATTTATAAGTCATTTCTATTAATTTTATAAAAAATAAAATAAAAGGTATAAATATATATAAAATTTTAAATATATTCTTATATAATAATTCAAAAAGTGATGTTATATTATTTTTTCTCTTATAAAGAATAATTTTAAAAATATTTTTTAAATATTATTTAAAAAGCTAAATCATAACTTTTAAATAAAATTGAATAAACTTTTTAAAATTGTGTTATAAATGAGACTGAAAAGAATACTTAACTTGTTATAAAAGGAGGACTCAAGTGCTTAATGCAAGCATCCTGAGCTCTTGGGTCTTTCTTTTGTTTCTCACACGCCGAGATAGACTATCATGTTTCTTCTCCCACCCTTTCACTTTGACCCCAATGAAAACAAAGCAAGCCACAAAAATGTAGTCAACAAGATCAAGAGAAGGTTTTATCTCTACCAAGAATCACAGTTGGATCAAGTGATTTTTCATGTGAGTTAAAATTGACATTTTGTAGCATTATGGGTTAAACTAGTTGAGAAAATAAACATTTTATATAAGTTGTAAAAACAACATGCTAGTTTTTATTACAATCTATGTAGAAAGTGACGTTTAAAACAACAAACAAATAGAGGCATTTTTTTTGAGAATTAGAGGTGATTTTTTATTTTCTTCAATTTTAATAGATTTCGTACAATCAAGAGTGCACTATGCGTCAAGCTATGTTGATACGATTTTTGTCTGAAGTGAGCCTCTCATAAAGTCCAGAAAAATTAGTTGTGTGACAAAAAATATTTTTTTAATTTAAATTTAAGTATTCTTCTCCCTAAAGCTTGGTTGTGTTTCTATTGTGAAGAATCAAATACATTTAAGGACCTTGCACGCCCACATATCCTTATGTTATGAAGGAAGTCTTCATATACACCACTTTTTAGAATCACCAAGAGAAGTAGACCCTTTTGGATTATCATTTCACACCACAACAAGAGAATGTATTCTCTTGACGTCTAAAGTCCTTCTTCATTTTAATTAAAAAAAAGATCATTTCAAATAATTTCTAATTATTTAATTGATTCAGCAGGTTTAAATTTATTAAGAAAAATATGTCTGAATTTTATCTAGATAATGATAAAAATATGAGTAAAATACAATGAGATTCATTATATTTTAGCTTAATTACACACCCATGCCTCACCTCTACTATATATGTTCTAAATCCACATATGTATATCCTAAAATTAAAAAATATAGTATACTATTGGGTTAAAAAGTTTGACAAAATTAATATATACTTTTATTCTACTGAAGCTTTCTTGTTAATTTGCATTGAATTCTCTATTAATCACCCACTTTCTGTAACATCTTAAAATCTTACTAACCAAAAATTAATCAAATATTATAGTAATAAAAAGATTTAAATTGATAAAAACAATTACCATGATATTGTCGTAAGCAACCAATATCCGGATGATAATATTGTTTTTTTTTAATACAAAGCAATGATAAAACTCATGCGGATTTAAGACATAAGAAATTGGTTGATATATAATTGGCAAGTTACTATAATTTTAAAAAAAAATGGCAAGTCACAATGGGACATAGATTTAGAAGGGTTAATTTCTTACTTCGAGAAATAATCATCACACAAGTAGGAAATGGATCCTCCTAGCGGCAAAATTCTCAGCATCCCTCAACGGCTAAATTTAGTCCATTCAAATGGTTAAAATTTCATCAACACACACATCACATGGCTATTAAAAATACATGTGAACAATATATTTTAAAATATCATGTATTGTTGGACATAAGTCAAGCTTAAATTAGATTTTGAGTAAACAGGTTTAGCCTATTTATATAAATAGGCCTAATTATAAATTTAAGCATGAACATTTTGTTAAATAGACTATACCAAAATTTAAACAAGGTAGGCAGTATGTCTCTACAGGAAAGGATTGGCTTGCTTAACAAAAAAGTTAATTATGTTGAAATAAGTAAATTGATCTATAGAAACATACAATCTGTACTATTTAAATTTTAATATGATCTATTTAACAAAAAAATCATACTTAAATTTATAATTAGGTCTATTTCTATAAAAAGGCTAAGCTTGTTTACTCAATCTAGCTTAAGCCTGACCTATATGTACCCATATATGATATTTCACAATATATTGTTCACACATATTTTTAATAGCCATGTGATGTGTGTGTTGATAAGATTTTGACCATTTGAATGTATCATAGTTAAATATTTTTTTGGATACTAGATAATTTGATGAAAGAAATATAAAAGAATTACTACTACAAAAAAAACTTTTCACATCACATTTCTAAGCATTTTCACGTCACAATTAAAGGGAACATCATACTGGGCAACTTAGCATAATGGCTTATCCACGTCACAAATGCCTATGACGTGGAATATCATAAACCACATCCCCTTTAATAATAGGTGAGGTGGTTTCTATAAAATCCACGTCCTCCCTTATACACGGTGGATGTGGTTCTCATTGCCTAGTTCATAGATTGAGAAACCACATCCCTTTTGATATAGGAGGACGTGGTTTCTTATTTAGATTCACAAACCGCATCCCTTTCTACCTATGGGGGGACGTGGTTTTTAAAATTTTTTATATATAATTTACATTTATTATACAATTAAAATAGAATTTGCCAAAATATGTTATAGAAACAGCCAATTCATACAGTGAAAGTCTAATAAATAGCAATTTATTTACAACTGTTTATACACTATCACAACAAAATACACCAAATGCAATGAAAAAACAAAACGATTGCATCTATAATTATATAATTATAAAATTATCTAAAATAATGAGTACATACTTTCATGGGCTCAAAAAAAATTTAAGCATCATAATATCATATACATCATGTAAAACTAAAATTAATTGATCACATTCTTAGGTCAAAACAAAAATTACATTTTTGCGTGGAGACCTGTTCAAGAAAATAAACAAACAAGGAAACAAAAATACCTAGAGAGAAGAGAAGAGGTCCTTAGTCGTGAGTGGCTGGGCTTATTCGTCCATAGAGCTGCCGAAAGAGATAGAGGCAATGAGAAAGCTGGGAGATAAGAGATAGAGAGCGAGAGAGGGAGCTGAGAGATAAGAGACAGAGACAGGGAGAGCTGAGAGATGAGAGACAGAGATAGGGAAAGCTGAGAGAGAGAGAGAGAGTGAGGGAGGGAGCTAAGAAAAGCGAGACAGAGAAAAGAAATGAGGAAGCTGAGATGAGAGAGGGAACTATGAGGGAGGGAGTTGAGACGGAGACGGAGACAGAGACAGAGAAAAGAGATGAGGGAGCTGAGATAAGAGAGGGAGTTGTGAGGGAGGCAGAGACAGAGCATAGGAAGCTGACACACTAGTTTTGAAAAATAAAAAAGTGAGTATGCACGAAGTTTAAAATTTTAACATATTATACGTCCCCCTCCTAAAAGGGGGACGTGAATTTGAGAATCCACATCTCCCAGGGGGAAGGGGAAAGTGGATTTAAGAATCCACGTCCCCCTTGGATTCTTTAATCCACATCCCCTAAGAGGGAGGGGGACGTGAATTGTTTAGAATCCATGTCTCCTTCCCATTTGGGGAACGTGAATTTTAAAGAATCTACTTCACATAGTTTATGGGGGACGTGAATTTTCAAAATTTACTTTTCTCTTCTATTTGTGTGACTTTGATTTTTTTTTAAGTCTCATTTTTAAAATGGGACGTAAATTAGGATAGTAGAAAAACTTTTTTGTAGTAGTGAATGGGAGGTTAACTTTTGCAAGGTACTAGATATGTTTGGGAAAAAAAAAAAGAATGTGTTTCTCTCTTTTTTTTTTCTTTCATTATCTCTCCACAACAAATTCAAACTATTCAAATTAAATTTATATTTTTAAATTCTCTTTTCATTTGAAGAGTAATATTAAAAAAGTATGGTTAATAAAATTTTATTTTTCTCAAATCATCTTATATTTTAAAAAATAAAATTCCTTTAAAGTTATTTTATAATATGGGATAGAGGGAATGGTAAGCAAGATTAGTCTAAATACTTTTATTTATTAATTATTAATTATACAAACTCTTTTAAAAAATATACATACGTAGATATATTTGTATGTATTTGTGCGCGGGTGCAGAACAATTGCATAATATAGGATTTTATGCTGTATACGAATGAGAAAAATTATATTACAAAAAATGCCATTGATAGATATTTCAATCAGAAGAGGGCATCAAATCTGTGCAATCAATCGGAATGAATTAGGGATGTTTGGATTTCAATTAAGAAATGTTGATTATAAAAAAATTTGATTATGAGAATGTGATGATATTTGAATAAATTTTTATAGATTGATGTTGATAAAATTGGGATTTGGATTGTTTGGCTTTTTAGATAATATTTAGAAGGTATTTCTAAAAAAATTTCCTTTTGAGAGAAAAAATAATATGATATTTCTTTTTATATTTGTTATTTAAAGGCATATTTCAAATTTTATACACTTACATTTTGTTTATATTTTTTATATTAATATTGATAAGGTTGGTAAAAGTAACTTATAAAAGAGATCAAATGAGTGCAAAGTAAGGGAGACAGATCAATAACAACACACAAACACAACCTAAAAACTTTCACCATACAATAAACTAGTTATGAACTGAACTCTCAAACTATCTTCATGTTCTCCACGCACGGTCACAAGTCACAGACCATGGTAATAGTTTTCTACCTAGACGATGAGATTCCCCAAGGCAAAGGAAGCGATGATGAATAAGAATCCAGCAAAAGCACGAGGAGCTGCGGACAGCATGGTTATATATGGAATTGAGATATATGAAGAACAAATACGTACGTGTGTGTGAGAATGAGAAGGATGATGAACAATGAATGAGTAGAAGGGGAGTCATGGAG